AACTGGTTCTTCCCTCGCCTGGAACATTCTCTAATGGATTTTTGTGTGTGTGTTTTTTTAAAATCACATCCGATTACATGTAATTGCTGTAATTAAGCTGTGTACATGACTGAGGCTGTACCAAGCTAAAACAGCACTTCAGAGAGTAACAATCTTGCTTCAGGACGTCACATTACCGCCAGGTGTTTTAAGATCTGTTCAGAGTGTTAAAGTATGAGCTCATCAGGCAAAGCATATGGGTGTAAGCTGCAGAGGAAGGATGGTTTGTGGTTAGGACAGTACACTAGGAAGACCTGGGTTCAATTCCCAGCTCCACTATAAGCTTCCTATGAGACAAGGTGGGGGAGGAAATACTTTTATTGGACCAACTTCTGTTGGTGAGAGAGACCAGCTCTTGAGCTACACAGAGCTCTTCTTCAGGTCTGGGAAAGTTACCCAGAGGGTCGCAGCTGAATACAAGACCAAACAGATTATTTAGCATAAGTAATTCGCACGTACTCTAGGGGACCATTCAAGGTGAAGTGGCTTGTTAACACCCCTGTAGTCACAGGACAAAAAAAGGGGGTTAGTGGGCTACAGATTGTTGTAGTAAACCATAAACTCAGTGTCTTTATCAAAACAATGATTTTTAGCATCTAGTTATCTTCCTGTGTGACCTTGGACAAGGCACTGCAGTGGACAATGGAGCTGTACAGTCCCTCTGAAAACTCACTCTGTGCCTCAGTTTGTCCCGCTCTGAAGTGGGGATACTACTTCCCTACCTCATCGAGGTTTTGGAGGATGGATTACTTAAGCCTTGGCTACACTCACTGATTCACAGCACTGCCGCGGCAGCGCTGTGAAGCGCGAGTGTAGTTGCGCCGCCAGCGCTGCGAGAGAGCTCTCTCAGCGCTGCAAGTACTCCACCTCTCCGAGGGGAATAGCTTGCAGCGCTGCGAGCGAGCGTGCAGCGCTGCGGGCGCTGATTACACTGGCGCTTTACAGCGCTGCACTCGCTGCGCTCGGGGGGGTG